TTTTAAATTTAATAAAAACTATATTAGAAACACAAAACAATTTTTATTTTAATTACGAAAAAATACAAATTTATTTGAAATTTTCAAAAAAAAATGGTCGATTTTTATATGTATATATCGTTGAAAACTGTTGCCTAATACATTACATAACTGTGCTTTATTAACATTAAGATAGCACATCGAATAATAACCTTACTTGTGTTTGGTGACTTGAATCATTATATTCAAAATTTTGAGAATGAAGTTGTGATTGACGTACGTGTGTACTTTGAAAATCAGGCGGTGTTAATACAGATGATGTTACTTGATTTTCTTGCGATGCTGCTGCTGCTGCTCCTGAACAAGATTGTACATTAAACGGAAAAAAATTTGCATAAACATCATCAGGACTAGGCACAGACGCGATCGATGCTATTGATGATTTTTCTGTTATTGGTGAAGTTAATAATGCAGTAGGATCTGATATCGACATTAATGCTAATGGTGGAGTTGATGAATTAAAACGTTCATTGGGTTTTGAGGAAATATCATCAAACTCAAAATCATACACTCTATCTGATACTAGTATTTGTTCGGATGCGTTACCAGTACCAGAACTATTACGTAAAGTATTAATATGACCCATATCTATATCTACTACTGTTGCCCATAAATCATTTGACAAATTTGAATTTATATTATCATTAGGTGCATGTGGAGTTGTAATACGTTCTGATGATATAGACGTAGGAGTTGATAAAATAGGCTGTTCAATTACAGTTGATGTTGAAGTAACAGTTGATATGATTGTAGATTGTGTTGTATTAATAGTAGTTTTACACACACGTTTTGATGCTTGATTATTAGTAGGTTTTGGTCGATTTCTTTTTTTAGTTGTATTTGTCACTTGTTGTTGCACTAATGTATTGCTTCCATTTTCTTCTAGAGTAGGAGAACGAACAATTTGTGATGTAATATTACGAACATTTTGATTAGTCAATGTTGAAACATTTGAATCATAAGATGGTAAGTGTTGTTTTTGATCTAATGGTGATAAATATGTTTTTGTTTTAACTGGTCCATTTTGTTCCCAAACACATTTAGGTTCAAATGGTGATGGCTTCGTTTGCTGTTGTTGTTGTAAACCAGTTGATGCCGATGTATTCTTATTATCTGTAATAGCAACTTTACCGTCAACAACATCATTAATAGTTCGTACAATAGCGTCTGTACTAACTGATGGTTGAACTGAGTTTTGTCCTGTAAGTAGGTCAAGTTGCACTGGCGATCTTACTGACTCTGCATGGGATGAACGCCGTTGTGTAGTATTTCCTGTTATGTCATTTGTTGCAGTATGTAGCGTATTACACGATGATGATGATGGTAAATTCATAGATGTCTATAAAATAAAATGAAAAACAAAAGTAATAAAATTTTATTATTTTATTTTCGAATCTACTTGAGAATTATCTTGAAGTGTAAATATTCCTGGTTGTAATTGAGTAGGATATAGTACATAATTTGAATGATTATTATTCTGTTGAGGTTGTCTTATTGGTTGATTAAATGAATTTATCACAGAAACTTTTGATGAAGAGTCATCTAAAAAAAAAGTTTTTGTTTTTTAATTAATATTTCATAGAAAATTAATTTTATACTTCGATTTGGAAATAATGGTCTATGTTGATTTTGATTATTTAATGGGCTTCTCTTTGTTAATGGTTTTTTTCGTTGCCGTGGTGGATTTTGTAATGGTATACTTTGTTGTTGTACAATCGGCATTGGTCTTGACGGGCTTATTTGATAACTAAAACATAAAATGAAAAAAGAAAATTTCTATTATAATGAATATTTACTTTGACTGGTTACTGTGAATCAGTGAAGGAGGAAATACGAATGCGTCTTGATTGAAATTACGATTAATAGTTAATGAAGGATTTTTTATTGTTGAACATGCTAGATTATTATTGATAAATTGTGGTGGTTGAGAAACAATTGTTGTTATATCTGAGGATAAATTAGAAGCTTTCATAACATTAGGATTTGGAAAATGAAATAAAGTCGTTGTTGGTATGGGTTCTTTTGGGGATGGAGTTAAAATTGTATCATTCGAGTGTGGCTGAGGAATAAAACTAGTTCGAGGAGCAATGGGTCGATTATTTGATGGTATATACATAATGTCAGAAGGTAGATTTGTATTTGATTGCTGTTTATTTGGAGTAATTGCAGGACAATTATGTTCATGATTTCCTGGATGTGAACAATGACATATAACATATCCTCTTGATTGACCGGTTGACATAGGTGGTGATTGTCGTAGATCATGTATATGCATTGTTCCCGAAGCCATCTGTTTGATTTGTGATGAAGAACTAAAAAAAAAATTATTATTATGTAAATAAGTAGATGAAGAAAAGACCAGAGTAAAAATAAACCACACTTGTTATGTTGTATTTCTATATATTATTCAAGGTCAACAATTTTTATCTGTAATCGTATTATGATAAAAAAAAAGTTATTAATACCTGATCGCTGATATCGGCATTGGTATTCGAGAATCATTCATATTCGATGATGGAGTTTGAATAACATGTTGAGGTGATAAATACTGTGGATTGAATGTTGATTGACGTGGTAGAATAGGAGTTAATTGTGATTTTAAATCATTCGCTATTTGTTGAATTGCTAGGTCAGAAGTCGATAATACTGGTGATTGAATTTGTAATTGGGAATGGGATTGAGTAACATCATGAAATCCTGATGTTGTAGTTGAAGATACATCATTATGATCACCAGATATAATTGTTGATCGTGATAGATCATGATTATTTGGAGATAAATGATATAATTGATGTTGTTGTTGTTGTTGTTGTTGATTTGTTGACTGAAAATTTTCCTGTCGGTGTTGTGGTTGTTGTTGTTGAGGATGATGATGATGGACGGGATTAATAAATACAGGGGATGACTGATTTTGTTGAATAAAAGACACAGGTTCTAAATATAAAAAATCAAATAAATAAATTAAAAAAATTCTTTTTTTTTTTCTTCTTACTTTTATTAGTTATATCCATGACAAGCTCGGGATCATCACCACCTTTCCGAGACCATTCAATATCTAGCCGTATAGTAACAAGATCATGATCAATAGTATAATTGCGACATGTTTTGAAAGGAATTTTATATAATTTATTTGTCTCACTAAATAAAATTACGAAAAAAACAAACCGCAAAATCAAATAAATATATATAATATAATATAAATGAGTAACTTACCAGGTATCCATTTATAATGATATTAATAATAATAATAATATTTAGTATATGTAGCAAACTGATAAGAGCATCAAACGATCATGATTGATAGAAAGTGATATATCTAGGTAAATCATATTATTATTATTCGACATGTGAATTGTTACTAACACAAAGAATAAACAAGTCTATTCTTTCTCTTCTTTTTTTTTCCTTGCTTTCTGTTTGCATACTTTATGAATCTTTACCTGTAGTGTGCGCGATCGGAAAGGTATGTGTACGTGTTGACGATGATGCAGCACTTTCTTTCCTTGTTGATTACTTGTTTCTCGTCGTCGTTACTGGATGATAAAAAGACATGTGTATATCATCTATAACATAGCAAAAGAAGACATTAAGAGAATATGAAAAAATGATGCAAGGACGTCATGAAAATCAATCAAGAGAGTCGAAGGTAAATAACGAATAAAACGCTTTTTTTCTGGTGTTAAAATATGTAAATTAGCTATACATACACACATACTGCATATAACTGTATCTATGTACGAATAGAGATGAAAATAATAGTTATTAAAAAAACAAACGCAAAAGAAAAAGAAGAAAGAAACACTTTTATATCAAAATAATTTAATATTCTGAATAGGGATCAAAATCTTGTCGTTGTTGTATAGTAATATTATTTTCAGGTAATGTTGATGTACATAGATTAGCTAATGTTGTTAATTTTTCTGCATTTGGATGACGTAATTGAGCCTATGAAAAAAAAACAAGATAAAAATTTCATTGAAAAAACAAATTTGTCAAATGTAAACAAACAGTTAATTTAAGTTTTTTCATATTCAAATCAAATTCTGACATAATATCAACATTGATTATATCAAATGGTTTTAAAATTTGTTTTATTGTTTGCGGTGGATCATTTTGTTTCCAATAGATTGTTAATTCAGCTGATTGTGTATTTGATAATTTTTGATAATTCGTACGTGGATGATCCAATGGTAAATTCTTATAAGATTAAATGATGAGAAGTAAAAGAACTATGAATTAAATACTTACATTGATGCCAACACGTAATGGTACTCCAATACGAAACAGATAAATATCAAGACTTTCATCTTTTACTCCAACAATAACAGCTTCATCAGATATTGTGCCATATTCCTAGAAGATTAGTTATATATATCTTATTAATAATTGATAAATAGCTCGAGGATTAAATTATTTTCTAATATGATTAATCAAGCATTCATCTGAAGAGATGAAATATATGATTAGTTCGCATGAAAAAATTGATATCATTTTTTTTTGTGACTATTAACAACGTATATAAATATATATATATCTGTAATTAATGATAGCATTTCTATGGTTCATTCAATGTTCATTGACATGGATTAGATACATCATGAAAATTCTAGGTAATGATGATCATCAGAAAAAAAGCGAATTTGAAAATATTCTTAAATTTAAATAAGATTAAGAATCATTATTTCCTTCACACTTAATTAAAAAAAATCCTTGATTTTTACTTTTGCCGTGACATTAAATTTTAGATGAAATACTAACATGAATAAAGTATCCTTTTACAGTCACATATAAAAAAAACACACGATTGTCTCCAGAAAAGAGTTTTGTCGACATACAAATATTTACTACACAAAATAAATATTGATTTTAGATGTTTTTATAACTCTCGGATACTTAGACGACGTCTACAAATCAATCTTAACAGAACAGATTAATATCTGAGAGAGAAAAATATTTTCAAATTTTTTTATGTCTAAAACTAAATAATCAATTATTTGTGAAATAAAATGACCGCAATCAAGGATAAAAGTATCAATCATATTTTCAATGACATAGGTTAAAGGTTATCCATGTGTCAAACAATGCCTAATGTTACGGATCATTAAATATTATGTGTCAGTATAATACTTACTCGAATAAGAACAGCTAGATAAAGTTCAGCACTACGTTCTGAACATGTTTTAGCATTTATCTTCTTTTCATTACATAATTGTGCTATTTGTTCAAGTACTCGTGGTGTTTGATAAAGATTATCATTATAATCTAAAATTGAAATAAATTTTCCAAAAAAAAAAAAGATTTATCATTACCAAGTGTAGCACCAAGTAAACGATGAACAAGTATATCTGGATATCGTCGAATTGGTGATGTAAAATGTGTATAAAATTCAACATTAAGTGCATAATGTGAATAATTATTACTTGGTACACATGATGCACAACAATAAATAGCTAATTGCATTGATTTAGCAAGTAAATGTATAAGTAATTTTTGTGTTGATTCATTATTAATTGTTCGAATAGCTTTTGCAATTTCATCCGATGATTTTCCTTCAATTTCAATTCCAACTGATTTTATTATTTTAAGTGTATTTTGTAATGTTGTGGCATTAGGTGGTGGATGACGACGTAAAATAACTTTATCAAATATACGTTCTGTTAAACATAATTTACGTGCAACTTGCATATTTGCTAAAAGCATGTATTCTTCAACTAATCGATTACTTTCTTTTTGTTGATAGATGGAAAAACTTAGGGGAATTTTACTATCAGCTTTCATATTGTATTGCAATTTAGGTTGATTTAATGTTAATGCACCAGCACGTTTTGATCGTAGAACTTTGGAAATTTCATAGAGTTGTAAAACAATTCTTTTTATATCATTAACAGTAAAATTATTTGTTATTTCTGGTAAATCTTCAATTTGAAATTGTTTATCCGGATGATCGATAATATCCTATTTGATTAAGGAAAAAGATATTATTATTATCTAAGGAAATATCATATATACCTGAGCATGATCATAACTTAGTTTAGCACACGATCGAATAATACTACGTGTAAATTGTTCATTAAGAATCTAATAAAAAAAAATTATCGTATTTTAGCAAAAGATAAAATCTATCATACTTCACCAGCTTCATTCATAGTCCATATCACAGAATATGTTAGACGATCTTCATTAGGATTTAAACTACATAATCGATCACATAATAATCGTGGTAACATAGGAATGACCTACGAAATAAAATTAAGAGAATTTTTTCAATCTTCATTTTCTTACTCGTTCAACAAGATAAACACTCGTCGTACGTTGAGCCGCTTCATTATCAAGTGGTGTTTGTTCTTGAACAAAATAACTGACATCAGCAATATGAACACCAATTTTATAATGTCCTAGAATAAAAATATTCTATATTTTTTTGAATAATTTAAAAAATATTTAAAATACCATTTTCAAGTCGTTCACAACTTAGTGCATCATCAAGATCTCGTGCAGTTGCTGGATCAATAGTAAATATACATTGATTTCGTAGATCTAATCGTTTAGAAAATTCTTCTTCAGGAATACTCCATTTATCTTTTTCTAATGGTAAACATTTAATAACCTACAAATATTTATCAAAATCAAATCAAATAATATTTCTTTTTTCTTACTTCATCAGTAAATTCTTCATCTCGAATATCATTTTCCATTAGAATAGCTTTACTTTGACCTTCAAGTGTATCTGCATCACCCAGACTTTCCAATAATTCTCTGCAAAAAAAAAAGTTTTTCCCAGAAAATTTTCTCTTGAAATGATGTACCCGCGTGCATATTTTTTATCAATAGGTATTTCGACAATTTTTGCAACGAACAATGCTTTTTCGTAATCACTCGGCCGATCTTTAAAATCTAAATAAAAACACATTGATTATATAGGGCACAAAAAAGCACTCTCTGATCGTTACCGGGTGGACAATTAGACATCGAAATCATTAGACGAGGTATTCGACTAAGCAAACAAAGTGCAGATTTAAAATAGAATTTCTTAAATAAATAAAAAATATGAAAACGGAATTTTTCTCAAGTTCACTTGAAATAATATGATTCATTTAGAGTAGTTTTCGCATTGATTTCATAAAAGAAAATACTGTTTTGTAAAAATAAAAATTGCTAAATATTTACCTATCCATTGGAGAGAACAAAGCAAAATTTGGATTATTATCAGGCATTTTTTTAAGTAATCCTGCAGCTTTCATTGTGTGTCTTCGCCGAAAAAGGAACACAACTTTAACTGTTCTTTGAAAATATTCATCAGGAATCTTTTCAATCATTTCATTAGTTAAATTAATATTTTCATTATTTAATGTAGCAATTGTTTGCCGTTTATTATCACGTTTTGATGGAGAATCTTTTGGTGGATTATTTTCAGTTGATGTATCCTGTTTCTCATCTGATGCTTTGCCACTTCTTATTTCACGAATAGATTGTTCAACCTTAATTAAATTAAAAGTTATTAAATATTTACAAAAATTAAAAAAATATTTACTAAATTAGAATATTCAGGGATAATCTTCCATTCTCGTTTAGGTTTAATTTCAGCAGCGACTTCATCTAAATTCAATGCTCGATTACGATCACGAATATTATCTATAAAAAAATCTGGGCCACCATCCTAAAAATAAAAATTGTTTTTTTTCCTTTTCTGTATTTAATAATAATAAGAGAAAAAATTCTCTTACAGGATCACTAATAAATGCATCAGTATATTGTTTAGCATTGATCCGTAAAATTCCACGTATAGTTTTCTTTGCCGTAATATCTTGTAGAACTTGTTCTTCATTCAAGTATTCTTCACAAGACTATAATGAAAATCAAAAGAATATACTCTCATACAAAGAATAATTATATACCAAAGTTAAATTATTTGTATTTTGTTGACGTGGTTGATTATTTTGATGATTGGATCGAGGCCTTGGATTGTTACCACGTGGTTGATTATTAGTGTTATTATTATTATTGTTATTATACTGTGTAGGATAATAGTTGTTATAATTACCCCATGCACTAGTATCAAATCCACCATCTTGTGGACCAGGTGGATATTGATCAGGATAATTTTGTTGATTAGCATCTATGAATGGAAGAAATTTATAAATAATGATATACAGACTTATTTCCTATGAAGTAGTAATGGTTATTATTAATCCTTGACTCATGTAGTGACAAGATTTTTATCCAGTAAATTGAGTAATTATTATTTCTTGGAATATTCCGAGTGATATTTGCTAATGATTCATATTTTTCATCTCATACAATAACTTACTTGGATTCTGTTGTCGATAATTTGGATTTCTCCCTCCACGTGTATTATTTCCACGATAATTATTATTATACTAATAATATTAAGAAAAAATAAATTTTTTTTCAAAATTTTCAAAACATACATTTGGTCGTCGTGCGTTTGACATGATAAGTTTTTTTTAATATAATATCTCTACAATAAGAATAAAAGAAGTTTTGACGTTTTCATTTAACAGTGAAACGTGATGAAAGTTAAAGTGAGTCTTTGCAAAGAAAAAAGTATTAATATATTTTATATATTATGGAGGATTCCAATTTTGCAAGAAGAAAAACACATGTGCTTTTCATTTTATTTTAAAACAAATGTCGCTACTGATTACAATCATAAATACATTGATAGCGGCGCATACCGCATTATGATGTCATGTCAATTCATTGTATATCTATACTAAATATATAATAAAATATAAAAATATTTCGTAGCACTCAGCGACATTAAATTCTTTTCTTACAATTGGATAAAATTTCCTATTTCAAAAACAAATAATATTTGTTTTGGGATGAAAATGACAATGATTTTATGAGTATTATTGTTTCATGAGTATTTGTAGAGATTTATTGACGTCGAAAAAAGTATTATACGTCGTTTAATTTAATTTATTGGGTATTACTATTATTTAAAAAAAACGGACTTTTTCTAGTTTATTTAAGATGTCGGGAGAATTAATTGCTCTTGTAACTGGATATACAGGAGAAAGTGGAAAAGCACTTTTAAAAGAATTAATAAAAAATAATCAATTTAAAAAAATTATATTAGTTGGCCGTCGTCAAGTTGACTACTCAGATAATGAATATAAAGAAAAAACGGTATTTATCATCGTTATTGCATGATTATTACCTGCCTTGATATGAAACTGTATACAAAAAATTTTACATAGGAATATTTTTTATAGACGTGTATATAGTACTCTTATTGGGTTTTTTTGCATTATTATTTTGATATCGTTAAAGAGTTAAAAGAACATGAATGAAGCAATATATAGTATTTCGCAAGCAATGAGTCATACATGAGTCAGATAGTTGGTAAATGAGAAAATTAATAGAAATTTTTTTGTTCTATATTTAGGAACAACGTCAAATAGATTTTGATAAAATCGATGATTATTCTGAAGCATTTCGTGGTGCGAATGTACATTATTGTTGTTTAGGTACAACAAGAGGCAAAGCTGGAGCTGTATGTATTTAATTATTATTTCATATTTCTTTTTTTATATTATTCTTTTTCATTAGGAAGGTTTTCGTCGAGTTGATTTCGATTATATAGTTGGTGCAGCTCGACTTGCTAAACAAGCAGGATGTAAACATTTTCATCTTTTATCGAGTCAAGGTGCTAATTCACAATCTTTATTTCTTTATACTAAAGTGAAAGTATGTTTTATATGAATTAAATTTCAATAGAAAATATATTTTAATTATTTTTAGGGTCAGACAGAAACAGCTTTAACTCAAATGTCATTTGAACGCTTATCTATTTATCGACCAGCGTAAGTTTTGTTTTAGTTTGAATACAAATAAAAAATAACATTTTTCTTTTTATTAGAATGTTAATGGTTGATCGAGTTGAAAATCGAGCATTTGAAAGTTTTGCACAAACAATTGTGCGTAATACGGTACAACGTGTAGCACCTGAATTAATTACAACACCTATTGAAATTCTTGCACGAGCTATGTGTTTTAATGCATTTACTAAAAATCAATCAGGAATTGAAATACTTGATAATCATGCAATTTTTCGCCTTGCTGAACAACAACCATTTTTACCCAAAGACACATAACGAATCTTAAACAATCGTGTTTTTTCTTGTTTGGCTTTAATCTGTATTTTAAATTTTTCTATATATAAAATATCAATAATTGATAATAATTAGAAGTAAACTTAAGAATTTAGATTTAATCAGATAGTCGTACTTCCTTGAATAATGATGATATTTAGGCATTATGTTAATTACTTTATAGATATCCAAATGAAACTAGTGCTAACATTAACAATCGATGCTTTCATAGGGGGCATTGATACATCACCTGTGAAACGAACCATTCTTGTCTCATTTATGCACAAGCACATAAGCACATTGTCATTTATAATAATATGTCCTTCACCCACATCCATCTTTCTATTCAAATAACTTAATTGTACATAAATTAAACTAGTTTTGTTCATATTTTATTTAAATAATAGATTATTAATAATCAAGATATATATATGAGGAAAATAGTCTTTTAAATATTCAGAAAATAATGATTTAGAATAAAAAATGTAAATCTCTTGAAAGTGTGGGTGTGCATTTGAGAAGCGTATAAAAACTTCGTCGATACCCACACCAAAGTATTATCGATGACATTGAAATTCTTTATTAGAGTTGTGAATGTCAATCATTGTTGAAGTATTTTATTATAGAATAAAGGAATTTGTTGTTGCTTCTGTGTTTACAAGGTCTTTTTGAGATGGTGGAAGAAGTTTTATAGATAACTAAAATGAAAGATACATTACAAAATAATTTTAGACGATGAATTTCCAGACAGAATTAAAACATATAGTTACTTACTGTACACTTTAGAAAATCATCTATTTGTATAGTCCATTCTGAAGGATTTGTAAATGGACTAGCGAATGTTTCATCTGAGAATGTTTTTACAGTTGCTTTGAGTTTTTCAGTTACAAGTATAGTCTTGGAATCAATAGTGTTAACTATCGTTCGTATGATACCAATTCTAAATGAGACAATTTATTTACACATTGTCGTATAAAACGAGAAAAAGACAAAATAGAAACTAAATCTTTTCTCAATGTGCTTTCAAAATGAGCCATTAAACTCAAAACGTCTTTTTTTAACTCTTTTCTCATTGCGTTGGAGTTTTTTTTCAAAAAGAAGTCCATCGAAAAATCGAGAAAAATGAGTTAGCAATTTTTTTGTCTATTACTTTGTCAATGTTGACTACATTGTTGATTCTAGTTTTTCATTCAAGTCTTAATACGAAAAAACTGGATGATTTTTGGAACAAAACATTATATAAGTCGACTTATGTTTCATATTCTGCAGCGTCTGAAATGCAACTCTAAAGTTCATCTGATCTAAGTGTTTTGACAATTCTATTTGATGAGATCTTCCAAAAAAATAATGGGACATTCTTTCCTCAAAAATTTTCACCATTTACAACTTCGAAAACTTAAACTTACGGCACAAGCAATTCCACTATTATGTAAAACACCGATGGTGCATTGACGTAAGCTCGCCAGAAAAATCCAAATATTAGTACGACCATGAAAAGAAAGACGCATGGCATCAAACAAGCCAACTTATAACGTTTGTATGTCTTAATTTCTTTCATTAGTGGATTTATTATCGATAGTAAACGTAAATAATTTTCACGTGTTACATAACTATTTAATTGTTGCGGATAAGACGAATCAATATTAAATGTACCGTCACTGTCACTTTGAACTAAAACAATTTCAAAATCAATAAACATTTTTAGAAAATGCAAAATACTTTACTTTGAATCAATTTTGTGTTAAATTTAAGTTCAAATCTACCTTTATCACAATATCTATCCGTTTCTATATTCCATATGCCTTCAAACTGATAATTTGTTTTGTCCCATGTTAATTGAATTGTTACTTGATGTCCGAAATTCTCTAAACTATTACCAGTACCCAGCTGATATGTTTTTGTTAGATCTATTCGATTTATTTCAGTTGAATAGGTTCCATCGATTGTAAATACACCAATATCATCCGATCCCGATCCTGTTACTTTCATCGAAGACGAATCGAATGTAAGTGGAAAGTGATAAGGTCCATAGTATTTTTCATAGTGAAAATATAGGCTCGACCAGATACCTGACTGAAAAGTATCAATATTATAAGCTTTTTCTCTGTCGATTTTGTCAGATGTCGAATTATCGAATTTGTTATTCCCTTGGTTTGACGTTATTTTACTACAGCAGCAACAACAGAGAAATATGCATATCCAAAACAGTATAATTGCAAGAAAAAGAATAACAATAAAGCTTGTACTGGCGATAGCTTCATGTAGTCGACATTCATGACTATTACAAGATCCGTGATTTCCTCGATTTTCTCGACCGGAGCGACCTATAAGTAAAAAATGTATCTGAATGAATCATTACCACATTGAGAAAAATTTCGAAAATATTCCAATAATTTTCTACATCTACAAAATTAGAAAATGTCAGATAAAAAGCAGATTTGTTTACCTCCACCACGACCGCCGCCACCACCACGTGCACCTTGACAATGAACAAGAATGCCAAAACAAGTAATGAGCAAAAGTATGCAATAAACGAAATGCATCACACTATAAACAAAGAATAGAGTGCAGAAGTTTAACTTCAACATAAAAACCACTCTTTTGTCAAGTTGCCACTATAATATTAACAATCTTTCTTCAATTACTTTTAGTTTATTCGTTGTTCTGAACGGTAAGCCTTTGAAATAAGTTACTGATGCTATATGAAAAATTCTTAGAAAAATATGATAGAATTTCGAGTACAGTCAACTCTTTAAATTCAAGAATTACTTCATACATTTTTGATTTAATCACGTATCAAGTTCTAATCAATTCTTCGAGTGAGACTTACTCAGTTTTGATCGTTCTGTCTGATGCAACTGCTTTATTAGACGAAATATCATTAGAAAGTGCTAGAATTAGTCGGAACTGATTGAAAATTCGAAATTTTCGGTTGACTTCGATCAACTCTTGCATCTTTTAATCCTAGTGTGATGATTAAATCAGGCATAGCATTCGAAATTAAGTCGATTTACTATTTAGAGGGTGAGAGCGAAAATGATCGAACACTAAAATAGGAATAGATTCTAGTAGATCTTGCTATTTTACTCTCTTCTATAACATGCAAAAATTTCGAATTCATTTCCTTCATTTATACTTTGTTGAATAAATATGCTGATATTTTTTTTTGTTTCATTAATATTAAAAGTTGAATTAGACAGCTACTTCTCAAGAGAGAGAAAAAGAAAACAAAGCGAAAACTTTAAAGTGTGTCACCTATTTGTAATACCTAATATAAGTTGCACTGATGGGTAAACTACTGTAGTTTTTCTTGATATGAGTAGAAAAAAAGAATGATCGCAAAGCACTACTGATTTACTGTACGCATATCAATTTATCGATCGAATAGTTCCGATACAGATAATCAATCTTTATTTATAATCAAGAAAAGAATACACAAAATGTGAGAAGCGGAAATGAAAACAACAAATATTAGAAATAATCACATCGAATCCAGATAGACAAACAAACAGAGAAGAGAAGTCAAATACAGACGGAAGAACGCATTAAGAATGTATGACTGAAAAAAATAAAAAAAATGAAGAAAACAAATCGCAATGTTGGAGAGTCACTGTAACAAAAATATGGACTATATATATATATACAGTGGAATGCAAAAATAATTGCCGATATTTATACAAACCGTCTAGAGTTTTTCTTCCTACTCGTTCAAAGAAGAACATTCCGGAACTATGTCGAAGATAGAGATGGGGTACTATAAATATGAGGAAGAATGGTCTCTTTTCTGATGTCTCTATCAGTGTAATAGAAATAGTATCGAAGATGAAAGGCAACGATCGATCTCGAGAGTATGAGTGTGAGTGAGTATCTTCTCTTAGCTCACATCTATACCTACCCTGAACATGATTTTTCTTAATATTAAATTGAACAATACTAATACCCAAGTCGTCTGAGTGACTTACTGTTATTTGAAAATTAAGTCATAATATGTTTTATGGGTAACACTTTTTAATAACATGTATAAGTATAGTCTACTCAAAAATATACATTCATTAATTGCCATAATAGAAAATATCATAAACTACCTTGATAGAAATAAAATGTAAACATATTGAAACTATATTAGTTCTATCAATGAATAATGAGTATACTGCAATTTCGTTCATCTTTTCTTATCGTGAAAACGATAGTGAAAAAAGATGAACTAATCTATTAGGAAAAAGTGTAGTTTGTGATCAGGCGATTTACTATTTGCAAGCGAAATGAACTTTCATTGTGATGTTTTACATTTTTATTCAATGAAACAAAATCAATAAGATATTTCTATGATAACAAAATTTGTGTATCATTCATTTATTCATCAAATAGTTTCTTATTATGATATAAACACTATCATAGTTTTTTTAAGATTCTACTAGTAATATTAATAAGCTAATGCAGAATATTCATATTTATCAGCGAATGTTACTTTGTGACGGTATAACACTGTATCCTTTTATTCATTAACATAACGTGGAATTCAATCATTAAGCTATTTGTTATTCATGTTTTGTTGTATTAGATTTATGGAACTGACTTTTAATGGGGCAATAAATAATATACATAAGCAATAATCAAGTTTAGCGATAATAAAATTGACTTAGCAATAAATATATTAAGTGAGCGATAAATATAATAATTCAGCAAGAATGAAGATAAATATTACATAGCAAGGACAATATGGACTTTTGTTTTTGTCTCTTTTTTTTTCTATACTATATCGTGTAGATTACAGGTAAAAGACCATATGTGAAAGAACGGAAAAAATTTGTACACAAGTGTGAGACGACCAGAAAGAGAAGACATATATGGAATGAAAAGGATGATTTCAATGAATCCCTAACATATACATATAATCTTCTTTATTTTCTTACATCTCTTGGTTTTATCCAATTCTTTTGATCTCTTTATGTTTTTCCAGGATTTTCTCTTCGCGTCTTATGCTAATTTTCAAATTGTTTCGGATTTTTTCTCTCTCATTAGTTTCCTGTATATATTGTCACAATTTGTAAAATAAAAGAGAAATTTATGTTTTGTTGATGAGATCGATTTACCCATTAACAAATATAACATTTGTACAAATGACTCAGTCACAGCACGTATCACAGTATATTTCTAGGCGGGTGTGGTTGTAAAATGAAAACAGTACCGACACTCACTCACATTGACACTCTTAGCAACTAGTGCAAAAAGAAAGCGAGGCAGGCCATCTAAAGCTAAAAAAGCTTTGATCAAATAGTAATTTTTCTGTTATTAAAATTAAATTTATTTTTGCTCACATATAAATTCATTACTGCAGTTTAATCATTTTCATTATTATCCATTTCCTAATATATAATTGTTGAAAAATATTTTTTTGCTGCTCAAAAACTATTGCTAATACGTATTTTTAATTACTATTCACTTCAATTTTTAAATAACTCAAATAAATACTAGCCGACTTATGGAAAGTACAGCTTGATCGACAATATTTGTCTTTATAAATTGATTGAGATCTATTGTAACGATTTTCTTTCATTTCTGATCGTTAATAAAGACTTTGAAATGAATATACGTTCTTTTTAGAAGAATTTTAAATAGATGCACTTGGATATTTTTAAAATGTTAAGTACACATTATTGAGGTTTATGATATCTAAAATCTTATATATATATATATGCTTAATTATTCTTTATCTTGTCACATTCAATCAATTAGATACAATTCATGTTTGATTCAACAAAGATGATTTAACTCGAACTAATAGTTTACATAATTATTCATCCGATGAGATAATTATTATTCAATATATATCTATGAATAGAAATTTTATGAACCAGACTTTTAAGGACTTTCAATAAAATCAGTCGTTTTTATCAAATAATACCTTAAGATATTCATTATCTGATTTTACTCTTTTGACACACACAAAATATCAGAATATAGCATACATTGAGAAATAAATAGAAATACTTAAAGCAAAGACGTAATGCAGATGGCATGGTTTACACTTTCATTCTTATTTTTGAAAAATTAAGAAAGAATTGTGACTTTTTCTATATCATTCTAGTTATTCACACTTAAAAAATATAGTTACTTATTATAATTAAAATAGTACGTAATATATACCATGATAGTTATTTTTGATGAATGCACTTTTTTCATACTTATTTTAACCTTAAAGATCAAACGTGTGATTTTTAGCTTCAAAGCACACTGAATTATGGAGCTAGATTATATATTTTGATTGATAATTGTTTTGATTTCCTCATCAGCCGTAATTTTCATTATTCAGTGTAGCAGACTAATAATAGAGTTGAAGTACCGACGGAAGAGAGTATTCCTTATTTCAACTTGTGTTTTTCTTCCTCCTTTATTCTCCTACATTCTTTTTACTCGAATACATCCGCATTTAGCAGAATACTTCAGTTATCTCTCTTCAAGTTAACTTCATTGTAAACCACAGCATGTCTGTTTACACTAATATCGCAAATAACTTTACTATCTATGTTGGATCTGTATTTTTTACTGTTGGAATATTGGGTAATATAATTAACGCTTGTATATTCTACAAAAATCATCGAAATCCATCTACTTTGCTGTTATTTGTTGCTTCATGTTTTAATCTTATATATATTTTCGTCGGTTTATTAACACGATTAATGTCTGCTGGTTTACACGTTGATGTAGCAGCTAATAGTCTTGGTTGGTGTAAAGTACGTTTTTATTTATTACAACTCTGTGCACTTACATCAGTTTCATGCATTTGTTATGCTACAATTGATCAATATTTTATTTCATCTCAATCTGAAACATTACGTCGATTGAGTAAAATCTCTAACGTAAGAAGAGTTTTGTGTATTTTAATTTTATTCTGGATATTATATTCAATACCACTTGCACTCTTCTCAAGTTTGACTCAACTTAGCGATGGAAGCATTGCTTGTGTTTTTATAAATAATTTAGGTTTTATTCGATTTGCTTCATATTTTAATTTGCCTCTAATATGGGGTATGGTTCCGATTTCTATCCTTATTATTTTTGGTATTTTAACATATCGAAATGTAAGTTTATTGAGAAATGCTCGTAATCGTGACGCAGCTCATCGTCATCTAACATCAATGATTCTTCTTCATATTATTTTTATTGTCATTGGAACACTTCCATACGCATTCTATTATACATATTCAGCTATTACATTGTTTACTGCAAAAACAACTGATCGAAAAGATTTGGAAGCATGTATATCAAATATCGTCGCTGTTATTTTGTATTGTCCTAACAGTTGCGCATTTTTAGTTTATTATGTTGCATCGGCTACATATCAGAAACAAGTTAAAAAGTTCTTACATATACCAGACAGAACTATTCAAATAGCACCTGAACATACTGCTACAATAGAACCAAAGACAAGAGCAATGACATAGACTTTTTTGTAGTTTGAAATTAGAATAATAAAAATCTTATAAAGAAAATCGGATATATATTTTGTTTATCAACTTTAAATAATTGATTTGACGGTAAGTTTATTAAATATGTAAAGTAATCCGGAAAAGAAAAATCTGGAAAAGAAACAAATCCTCTCGAAAGGTTTTATCGCGTGGATGTTGGTGTGGAAGAAGAGTAGTCCGTATCCATATCCTGAATACCTACAGCTACAACAACGACATCGACCGTGCCGAACTTCTCGAAGGATTCTCACGTCTGGCTGTTTCAAAAAAATAAGCTCACCAGATTGTCTCTAAGGTTTCTACATCTTTACTTGTTATGTCTTCTCTCATTAATAAGCTTCGGGTAAAATTTTTCCGGACTTCTTCTTTTTGAAAGCTTTCTTTTCCAGGTTTTTATTTTTTCGGATTACTTGACATCACCAGTTTATTAATCAATAAATATCAATACTACATCATCGAAATACTTTATACTCAATAAATTACAAGAATAGAAAAAGTTATCATAATATTAGTCATGATAAAGCGAAAAGAATAAACTATGATTTGTGACAAAAAAATTCATATTGACATTTAGAAAATATTCATTAAGTCGTTTCTGAAATCTACTTTCTTGAAAATAATTTTTTTTATATTCTATCTTGCTCAACACTGTAAATGTGTACTTATCATATAATTTTTTCTTTTGTATATTACTTTATAATAATAATTTATTAATATCAAGTCAAACAAATTATTCACAGACAAATACACATTCTGTCTGAAATAGTTGATGACAATTTAGAATTGATGGTAAGTATGCACACTCTGAAAAATTATTCATACTTAAAACTCAAAAATAAATATTTTCTTTTCATCCGCCTATTCTGTTGCTACCCTAATAAAGTGACGTTTTCACCATATCAACAGATGACACAAGTTGACGAGAATATTCACATAAAAGTAATGCATGTGTTTCTTATGAGTGGTTAAGGTTGCTAATGACTATTTTAATATGATTCATTTCGATATTGACTGACGCAAACAATTAGATCACTTATTCAAAACATATATTTTTAATACGATTCGTACTCAATATCATACGTTGTTATATTAAGGATGCTGGTCTTCCTAGTCATTTTAATCTCATTATTATTGATTCTCTTTATTGCTTATAAAACTCGATGGATATATACACTTATATACAAGGTTAATTAAGATATATTCAACAATTTAAAATTTATTTATTCATTAAATTTCTTATAGTTTGATGAAAATTCAACAGCATATGGTGGTGAACTTGTTGCTAATGTTCTTAAAGTAAATAAATAATTTATTTAAATCGAATAAGATAAGATAAAACTTTTCTTTCTATTCAAGGCTCATGGAATTCCATATGTATTTTGTTTATCCGGTGGTCATATATCGCCAATATTAGTTGCTTGTGAAAAACGTGGTATACGTATAATTGATACTCGTCATGAAGTAAATGCTGCATTTGCTGGTAAAATTATTTTTCTAGAATTTTTAAATTAAAAAAAACACGGTTCATTTTTATTTATAAAGCTGATGCAGTTTCCCGTCTAAGTGGCAAAATTGGTGTTTGTGTTGTTACTGCTGGACCCGGTAAAACAATTACCTTTTTTGTTATTCTTTTCAAAACATAAAACTATAATTTTTTTTTGTTTAGGTCTAACAAATACTGTCACTGCAATAAAAAATGCACAGATGGCTGAAAGTCCATTATTATTAATCGGTGGTTGTGCAGCTAATTTATCGAAAGGACGTGGTGCATTACAAGATATTGATCATATGTCTTTATTTAAATCAATATGTAAATATACAGTCAGCGTTAAACGTGTACGTGATATTACAAATATACTTCGACAAGCTATTTCTATTGCTCAATCAGGAACACCAGGTAAATAAGACTTATAAAATACATAACAAGAATGAAAGATTTGTTTTATTTTTAGGACCAGTATTTGTTGAATTTCCAATTGATGTTTTATATCCATTTCATATAGTTGAACGTGAAGTTGGAATAAAACCAAATCCAAAAACAATATTAGATAGAATAGCAAATTTGTTAGTAGGAAAAAAAAGCAATTGAAAATATTTTAATGGGTTTAATTTATTTAGATATTTATCAGCTTATACACGTGGAACATTTGCTGGAGCTTTTGATAAACAAGATGTTTTACCAATACCACCACAAATACCTTTTGCATCAAATGCTTTGAGTAAAATCTAAGTCTTATAATAATATAAAATAATCTATTCTCGATTTTTATTTAAGTCCACAAAGCTGCGCACCTTCTTCGATCAGCAAATAGTCCAGTTTGTTTATTAGGTAGTCAAACTACGCTTCTACCAACATCAACAAGTGCTGTTGTTGAAGCACTTGAAGTAAATAGATGAAGTGTTTTCTTCCGAATATTTTTTATTGTATTCTTATAGTCAATGAACATTCCATGTTTTCTCGGTGGTATGACAAGAGGTTTACTTGGTAAAAATAGTTCAATACAATTTCGTCACTGTCGAAAAGAAGCATTAAAAGATGCTGATGTTGTTCTTTTAATTGGTAACAAAAAATTGAATACTAAATTATTTTATTTATCAATTAATTCTTAGGTGCTGTTTGTGATTTTCGTCTTGGTTATGGAAAAGTTCTTTCGAGAAAATCAAAAATTATTATTGTTAATCGAAATTCATTTAGTTTACATCAAGTAAAACAATATTTAACTATAATGAAATTTAAAAAATAATAATCATCTTTTTAGAATAGTGATGTTTTTTGGAAACCAACATTACCTATTAAAGGTGATCCAGCTGATTTTCTGATACGATTAAATAAAATTTTATTAGACAAACATTTTAAATGTCCTAATGTATGGATTGAAACTCTTCGAAATAAAGATAATATTAAAGAAGAAACTAATCGGTAATAATAAATATTTTTAATTGGACTTATTTAAATATATTGTTTTTTGTTTATAGAAAAAAAGGATCCGAATTAACAGAGGTTCATTTAAATCCAGTACATGTTCTACAAGAATTAGAAAATCAATTACCTGATAATGCAATTTTAGTTGGAGATGGAGGAGATTTCGTAGCTACAGCTGCGTATATACTTCGTCCACGAGCTCCACTAACATGGTTAGATCCAGGTGCATTTGGTACATTAGGTGTCGGTGCTGGATTTGCTTTAGGTGCAAAATTAGTTCGACCTGAAGCAAGTGTTTGGATTATTTATGGTGATGGTGCACTTGGTTATAGTATTATGGAATATGATACATTTATCCGACATAAAGTAACTAACTATTTGATCGATTTACAAATCCTAATGTTTATTTTTTAGATACCAATTATATCAGTTGTGGGTAACGATGCTTGTTGGAGTCAAATTGCTCGTGATCAAGTTCCATTATTAGGCAGTATTGTTGGATGTTCATTAGAGGTTAGATTATAGATTTTTAATAGACAATTTTATTCTATTAAGGAAATAAGAGCACGAATAGTTTCTTTCTATCTATTACACTGTCAAATACCAGTCTGTACTGATGAAATTTTTAATTTATTCTTTCTAGTATTCGAAATATGATAAAATAGTTGAAGCTTTGGGTGGTGTTGGTTTTCAACTTGATCGTACAAATGAACATGATATAAAAAATATATTTAAACAAGCAAATGAACTCAATCAAGAACAACAAAAAAGTGTTCTCATTAATTGTCTCATCGGAAGAACAAATTTTCGTGAAGGCAGTGTGTCGGTGTAATGTCTTTCTTTCTTTCTTTTTTTTGTAGTTTTTCATCTAATTTCGCTGCAGTATTCATTTAAATGTTTTGATATAAAGAACAAATAAATCTTTAGTAGTTTTTTTTTGTGATAGCTCCATCTGACCAATACATTGATGGTTTAGCTGTTTTAGCTCGACGTAAAACGGGTTCTTTGATATTGAAATAAAAGAAAATTTCATTTTATTATTTATTTTAAATAAACATACTTTCATTATATTCTATAGTTGATTTTGTAAAACCATTTGGAAAAAGTTCATTCATATAATCTTCTCGATATACAGCATATTTAAAAACCTAAATATAAGTTGGTTTTTAATAGAAAAAAAACAAATTTTATTACTAGATATGTTGATTCAGATTGTAATTGTTGAAGACGATTTGTAATTTCATTTGTCTTTGTTTCAATTTCTGAAATCATTGATCGATTTGATTGTGCAGTAGAACAAGCAACACTTCGATCAATGACTGGCAATGAAGGTGTGACAGGACATGTTGACGTTGGCCGAGATTGACGATGATCTATTTTAAATAGTTAATTATTTATTTTTTCTCATATAAAATTTTATTTTACGTAATGTTGATGAATTTGATGGAGTTACACAAGCACTTCCAGCTCGTGAATGTTTCAATGATGATATACTAGCTGTTAATTGTCTTTGTAATCGAGCTTTTTGTGCAGCAGCTTCATTCATCTTTTCGTTTTAATATAAAATGTATATATAATGATTAGATTTTCTATTCTAACCTGATTTTGTCGAACAATTTTTGCTGGCCATACTGAACTTTCAATCATTTTTTCCTTCACAAAATTTTCTTGTAAGAAACTATTATGTTCATCATGTAAATATTTGGCATTTAATTCATCTATTATTTGTTGATCAACAGATTTTGGATTCGCTATATCAATACTCTACAACAGAAGAATTTTGTCTTTGTAAAATAAGAAAAATAAATGGAATTTATACTTTTCTTGACGATGATTCTGATTTTTTATCTATACGATTTGACATTAATAATAGATCAAAATATTCACATAAATGTAATATGCGTATTTTATTTAAATGATAATGATATAAACGATGTTTAAGCTTCAATGGACTTATGCGATATCCACAGGACTAAAATATAAGATAATTATTTCAGAAAAAAATTTGTTTGTTATAATTACTTTAATTGCTTGTGAGATTAATTCGAATGTATTCTTATCACTTCCTAATGCATTCATTTCATAGAAATCAAAAGAAAGACGAGCTTTTCGTATTTCATGAAAACTAATTAGTTTTAAATTATTAGATTAAAATTAATAGGGAATGAAAATTCTACCTAAATAAATGTGAATCAACTAATTGAAGAGCTTTAGCCAAAACCATGCTATTATATAGACCACTTTGATCATTAAACATAAGATTAAGATCAGTAATAAATGCACCTTGTTTGAGTAAGAGTATTACTTTCTAAAATTAGAAAAAAATTAAATTTATAATATTTTTATCAGATAAATCTTACTGAAATTTGAATTGTCTCTCCATGTCCAAGTTTATTTAATCTATATTCAATACGATCTTCTGGTAACTGAAAAAAATACTATGTATATTAAAATAATTATTAAACATGTATTTATCTCACTCCTAATGCATGAGCCAACATCCTGTATTAATAATAATAAAAAAAACAATATAAGTGAAAATAAAAGGTTTCTTAATATGTATACCTTATTTCTGGACGATTAAAAGATCCATGTATACCGTTATATGCACATAATGTATTGGACATGATCAGATATTTTGTATTAAAATTAAACTTGTCAAGAAACACGATTTTTTCTTTCGATTTTATTTCATTTTATTTATTCCTTTTATTTTTGTTCTTTGTTATTTCAATAACGACAATGAAGAGACTGAATGTTTATATTACCTATTCCATCATTCTTCTTTTTTTTCTTCTTCTTCTTCTTTTTCTCTTTACGATTACATTAAACAACAAAAAAGAAATGAGACATCCTTCAACATTTTTTAATGTTATTTGCATGTATTGTAAAGTCTTTTGGCATTGATTTAATTTTCAGACGAATGCG